GGGGTGCTTCTTCCTGCCCTGCCCCCCCCCCGCGAGGGAGGGCTGCACGGCCCCTCCATGGCTGGGCGCTCCCGAATTCCCTGGGAGCACCAGGAGGAGGGCTGCATGAACGTCAATGCAAGGCAGAGGGGCAAACGAGGGCCGCGGGGCTGGGCCTGTTTCTTTTGGGCGTGGAAGGTCCCAGTCCCGCCCGCCAGTACTCCTGCAGCTGCCCCCGCTCCTGCTGCCCCAGACTGCACACCTCCTGGTAGAACTGCCGCTCGATGTGCACGTAGGCGACCGGGATGGCGCCCGCCACCCCCTTGGCCCCGAAGAAGCCGTTCATCTCCGGAGAGGACCAGCAGGATCTGGTACTCGGCCCGCGTGCCCAGGACCAGGTCCATGTAAGGCCTGAGTCAGGTTGAAGTAGCCGGTGGTGAGGTAGACCCTGGCCCCGCACTCGGCCTCCGTCAGCAGGGCCGCGGTGACCGCCTCGTCGATCCGGATCTCAAAGGGCTTCATCTGGACCAGCGGGTAGATCCACGTGTCTGGCGCTGGCCTGCGGTCGCCAGCGGCCGCGGCGTCCTCCCGGGGCCCGAGGGAGTCGCTGTGGAAGGTCTGTGCGTGCAGCATCTGCTGGCGGGTCCGGGCCGCGTTGATGACACCCATGACCCGTGCGTTGGCGGCCTCGCAGTACGCAGCCCGGTCACCTGAGGGACACGGGGAAGGGGGTTAAAGGGCGGCTCTCGCCAGGTCAGCCCTCCCCCGGCATCTCATTCTCGCCCTCCCTGACTGCGGGACCTGTTTGGTTAGACCAGGGTCGGCCATGTTTTCCGCGGGGCCAGAGAGTGAATAGTTTAGGTTCTGGGAACCAAAAGCAAAACAGGCGAACATGCAGGTACTAATTTCCATCACGAGGGAAGAGGATTCCCATGCGTTTTGTATGGACAAGATGAAAAAGCTAATGGTCACAATGGAGCGTCCCGGCTGGCAGCAGGCAGGGCGGCAGAGAGCCCACCATGGGGATGGACAGGCCTCCACCGCACAACCACTCAGACACTTCCATGGGGGGACCCAAGGAGCACCCCGCCAGGTCTGGTGGGTCTGGGTTTCCCCTGCCCTGTGCACTGACACTCGCAAATGCAGCAGCAGACCTTAGAGGCCCCCAGGAAGTCAGGGCCACGGAACCCCAGGAACGCAAAGGCCCCGAGAGAGAGCCAGCTGCCAGGCCGGCAGCACAGACCGCAGTGGGCCGAGCGCAGAGCCTCTGGCGAGGGAAGGAGGGAGGGAGCAGCCGAGGAGGGTGAGCTCCAGCACTCGGCCTCCTGGCAGCACAGGGCAGGCTCCGGCTCGCTGGCCAGGCCAGGCCAGGCCCGAGCGCCCATCCCCACACCCCTGTCCCAGCCACTCCCTCGCCCACAGGGCATGGCTGATGGCCAGTGGGTCCCTCTGTCTGGCTCCAGTGACAAAAGCAGATCCAGGCCCTGCCACCCGGGCTCCCAGGCCCTAGGCAAGGCCACAGAAGCTGCTCTCCTCGGCCCTCACATCCCCCGCCCCGGCTCAGGGGGACAGCACAGCCGCGCCCACCTTTGTAAGGATGCACCATGCCCTCCACCACCTGCACGGTGTCGTCGCCCTGCAGCTGCAGGGACACGTCGCCCACGGCGTCCACCAGCTCCGTGAAGAAGTCCGCGACGTCGGGACAGTCCTGCAAGAACACGTAGCGGTCCTGGCGGTTGGTGAAGTAGGAGTCACTCAGGTTGGCGCTGCGGGAGGAAAAGCAGGTGAGGACCAGGCCAAGGCGCAGCAGCGGGTCCGGTGACGGGTCTCAGACCCCCAGCAGGAGCAGGGTGACGACCGGATCAGGACCCAGCGGCAGCAGCGGCCAGTGAGCAGTTGGCTACTGAGCATGACCACGCCCAAGAGACAGGCCAGAGTGGCCGGCACAGCCCTCCTCAGAGCTGACGTCACCTGGGAGAGGAAATGCCCACCGCCGGGCGGGTTTCCGGTGCAGTGACGGTGCCCATGCTTTAGACTCAGGTCCTGGGTCCCCTCCCGGCTCTGCCTGACATCACCCGTCCTCTCTGATCTCTGGTTTCTCATGTGTAAAGTGAGGAACCCACGGCCCAGGTCCCTGTGAGAATTTAAAGGAGAGACACACAGGGCCTCGCGTAGTGGCTGACACACAGTAGGTGCTCAATAAACAGGGCCTGCCTTGTATTTTTAGAATGAAGACAGTGTGATAGACTCTTATTTACTGATTCATTTTTCTTTTGTGCCCAGCCTCCCACGCCCTCGCCTTTGGCAACCATCTGCTTGTTCTCTGTCTGTGGGTCCTTGTTTTGTTTTCAGTGTGACTTTGTTGTTTCTTAGATCCCACGTATAAGTGAGAGCATGTCTCTCTGTGTCTGACTTGCCTCACCTCGCAGAATACCCTCTGGGCCCGCCCACGTGCTCACAAACGGCAAGGCTGCGTCCTTTTTCTTGCTGAACAACATCCCACTGTGCGTCTACACCACCTCTCCATCCACTCAGCTGCCAGTGGGCGTCTAGCTGCTTCCCTATCCTGGCAACCCGGCTACCGGGTAACCTCTGTGGGCGTCCAGCTTCCAGGGCGGACACGGTGCTGAGGCAGACGGGAGAGAGGCGAGTGGACTGGACGTGCCAGCGGGGCCGGGGCCCCGGGAGGGAGACTGTTGCTGGGAGACTGGCGGAGGGAAGCCACGCACCCGCTCAGGATGACGTTGTCGTCGAAGAGGTACACCTTGATGTGCTGCAGGCCGATGGTCTCGTTGAAGCGCTCGGGCATCAGGAGCCGGAGCAGCCCGCGGAGGTTCGGGGTGTGGAAGAGGGAGACGCGGACCTGCTCCGGAAACCGCTGCAGGAGCGGGAGCAGCATCGTGCGGGAGTTCTTCCTGCCTGAGCACAGGGCGAGCGGGGAGGGAGGACAGGGTTCACCCCGGGCAAGGCAGCCAGCCCCGCAGCGCCTGCCGCCGGCCCATGTGCCTGTGCTGCCCGCTCAGCTGGTGCTGTTTCTGGGCAGAGGAGCTCGGGCACCTCTGTTCTGGTCGCCCGCTGCTCAGGGTGGGGCTGATGTGGTCGGTGAGGAGACCTTCTGTCTCCCCCATCAGCACCCATTGGCCTCCTCCTGGTCACCCACCTCAGCTTTCCTGGGGGTGCCACCCACCCTCCCTCTTGGCGTTTCTACTCTGCGCGATGACCGTGCCCACCCGAGCCCGCACCCCAGCCCCCCAGCGGAGGGCCCCAGGCCTGGGCGGGGCAGGACCGCACACTTGGAGCCCTAGGGCAGCCACTGGGAGCTCTGGTCTGGCCACCAGGGTGCCGACTCTTCCAACGGACAAGATGCCGTGCCAAGAAGGGCCTGGCCGTCAGAGGCCACCACAGGGAGAAGGAAGCCACGGGACACGGGCCAGCAGGTGGGTGCTGGCGACACACCCGAACGCCGACGCAGCCTGCCCGAAGCAGTGGGCCCTGGGGGTCACACAACTCTTTCTGCCTCAGTTGTTTTTCTGGGGCTGCAGTCCCAGCCACAGAGGGAATCCCGACTCGGGCAGTCAGGCCGTCCTCACAGCCCCGCCCTGCGCGGAGGGGGGGACAGAGGCCGCACCCACCTCTGGAACCCCGCATGAAGTCCAGGAGAATGGACACCTTGAGGTCGGAAGGACACTTCGCTTGGAGTGACTTTTCCAGCGTGCTCTCCAGACAGTCCACCTACAAGCACAGAGGGCAGACCCAGGGGGAGACTGTGTGTTAGGAAGGACCCACGTGCCAGCCATGCCCCCGTCCTGGGCACACCCCGTCCTGGGCACACCCCGTCCGCGCTCAAAGCTGGCACCACGGAGCTCCTCCACATGAGGCCGCCTCGGGAGCAGCCTGGCACACAGAGCAGCGGGACCCTGTGCAGGGCGAGGGGGACACTGACCAGCAAGGTCAGAGGCCAGGACTAGGCCTCCCCACGCCCTCCCCCGTCCTCCCGACATGCCCACGAGAGCGAGAGCTGGCAGCGTGAGGTCTGGAGGCCACACCCTGCTCCCACCTGACTGCTCCCCCCAAACCTACCAGTTCCTGTTCCAAAGGGCCTGTCCCCAGGTAGAGAGACGCCATCACGACCCGCCTCTTGGCTGCTTGGATCTGCCCCTGAAAGCAAAGGACGTCTCAGCGCTCACAGCATCATTTCCACGTCGCTGAGAAAATACAGTCCTCGACCGTGGAGGCAAATAACACCCACACTGAACTATCCTGACCCCAACGCGGATGGACCCACAATCCTCCCTAGAAATAGTCCGCGTGAGTCCACGTGAGTCCGGGTGATGCACCTGCACTAGACACGGGAGGGCGTGCACACGCCTGCGACGGCCTCACGCACGGCTGAGACGCCCATCACTGAGCACAGTGCAAGCCGCGCTCCACCCGTACCCGCCCGCACACACCTGCATGTGTGTGTGAGCGTGCACAGGGCGTGCGGAACACACAGGAGGAGCAGAGCTGGGGGAGGGTGCAGGCGCAAACCTGCGCGGCTGGAGTTTTACGAGGAGCACGTATTACCCTTAAAATGCAGACTGACAGGTATGGAGACACATAAACAGAACGTCCCCACATTCCAAGACGACACAGCGCATCAACCCCACAGCCACGTCCTCTCCCTGGCCCTGCGCAGCCCCCTGCTCCACAGCACGGGGGCCGGCGGGACTGGCTGCGCGCTCTGTCCAGGCGGCCCAGCCCGCTTGGTGCAGGAAGTGCGGCGTCGGCCCGGGGCCGCTCAGAGGCGGGAGAAGGCCTGGCTCCTTTCCGGGCTGCGGGGCCCCAGGCTCCTCCTGGTCTCTGCAGCCCCGCCCGCCGAGCAGGTGCGCAGTGCAGCCGCCTCCCGGCCGGGGTCACCACATGGGGACTCAGCCAGCCACTGGAGGCCGTGAGGACACTAAGAAGAGCCTGTTTCTTCCAGCCACGCAGAGAGCCACGCGGAGCACAGAGCAAACAGCCTCAGCAGCACTGACACCAACGTGAGCGTGTGGGACAGGCGAGGGGCTGGGGGGGATGGGGGACACGCGCGCGCGCACACACACACACACACACACAGAATTCGTTCTGGAAGGAGCCGGCCAGGAAGGAAGCTCAGAGCTAAAGAAGAGAGCGCGCAGCATTCACTTGCCGGCCTGTGTGAACTCCTCACACCTGGGTTCTCACGTCACTGTTAGTATGAACTCAGGAGTTCATGGCAATAAAAAGTCATTAGCGTTGAACTACTTCACGCCAATGAGCAGTCCAACCACAGAGAACTAGAGGCGCATGAACTCCTGAGGGACCCCCAAGGGCAAAGTTCAGCAGCTCCTCAGGCACAGACTGTACCGTCGGAAAAGGACCAGGGCTGCAGGGGCCACAACCAGAGCCCGAGGTCCCAGGCCGCTGCCACGCCTCTGCCACTGGGTCTGCACCCCGCACACGATGCCCACACGATGCCCACTGTGGGAGGTGTCTCCAGGGCAGAGGCCCCAGTGCCCGGCTAGAATCAGGCTCGTTCCTTCCCGGCCGTTGCTAGCAGGGCCCGTGCAGGGCACATGCCCTCAGGCCTCCCCTCTGGTGGGCCACCACCTCGGCACAGGACAGAGGAGCAGGCTGCCCACAGGCCCGGAGCCAGGACCTGCCCTCACCGCCCCGCCTGGGCTGCTCCACCTTAGCCACACAGGGGAGCTCTGACCACGGCTGACTCACCCATCTGTGAAGCTGGAGCAGGCAGAGCCCACAGGAGTGAGCTGAGCAGCCAATAAAAGCTTCCAGAACAGAAGGTGCCCCCACCCAGGACGCGCCCAGCCTCACACCAGAAGCCCCTACCCACGTGTCCACCGCGCTCCGCCTCGCCCACGGCTCCGCCTTCGATGCAACTCACCTTCATGAGCTCAAAAAACTCGGTGGGGGCGGAGAGCACCCTGACGTGGGAGCTGCAGACGCCGAACTCGGGGACCAGGTTCCGGATCCACTGGAACCGGTGCCCGCCCTCCGGGCACAGGCCGCAGGGCGGGGAGGTGACCTGGGGGACAGTGGGGGACAGCAGAGGAGCCAACAGCAGCCATGGTGACCTGGTTAGAGACACACAGAGGGTCAAGCTTCGCAGACGCATCCTCAAACGTCTCTCCCCGCTCCTGGGGTCTTTATTTTATTTTATTGCCCATTTTGGATTTTCCAGGCCATTTTCAGTGGCCCTCACACTCCCCACACAGGGTTTCCCTTCGGCCCCTCCGGGCTGAGCAGCGTGAGCAGTGCCGACGCCTGTGGACAACCCCACCTTCACGCGGATCCCACGCGCCTCCAGACTTAGTGCTCCCAGCAGCTCCCGGCAGCCACTGCTGGCCACCACCGCGGCCTCCGAGCGCCAGGGCACCGCTGCACCCAGCCCGCCCGCGGCAGGGCCCAGGAGACAGCGGGCTTTCACTTAGGGAAGGGCCAGCAAAGCAAAGTCTCTCCTACATCTAACAGCGAGTGGAATAAAATATCCACAGGGTAGAAAAGTCTTCTCTCCAACACCCAGGCAGGGAGCGGAAAGCTGGAGCAGGAAGAGGACAGGGGAGGTCATCACAAGAGGCGCCGGGTGACAGCACTGCCCTCCCTGCTGCACTGTCTCCTTCGGGGGCCGCGCCGCCTCGGGGCTGCCCTGGGCCGACCACAGGGAGCTGTCCCCTGACCCACAGTCCGCCGAGGCGGCGACTGCAGGACGCTGGCCCTGCCCGGGGAGCCCACCTGCGCTGCCCCGGGCCTGGAACACCTGTGGGCAGGGAGGGCACGTGCACAAACCCGGCCGGAATTCCCGAAAAGGAATTCCCGAAAACAACGGCAGGAAAAGCAGGAAAATCCTCCGCAGCGTGTGACCTTGGAGCCCCGCCCCCAGAGGGACTGGGGGAAGGACGCTCACACACCCCAAGGGCCGAAGGACCACGGATTCCAGGAAGGTGACCTCACGGCTTGTCTCATGACCCCGCCGATCTTCCCAGGGCTGGTCCACGGCCCCACAGCGCCAGGTGGCCCACAGCTGTGCTTCCCAGAAAGCCCCGGTCTGCCCCAGCCTCCTCAGCGCCAAGAAAACCTTAGTGAGCCGGGAAGACACCGGCAGCCTGGATGCGGGAGGCCTGGGGGCAGCGGTGGGGGGCGGCTGTCCCTCCCCGCCAGCCTCAGGGGTGGTGACCCCACACGTGCGCACAGGCGGGCATCAGCCTGCTGGGTTTCTCTAGCTCCCAGGCTCCCAGCAGCTTGCACCGAGAAGCTAACAAGGGACTGCGACCTCAGTTCCCCAAACTGCGGGCCGACCTCCTGCGGGGCTCAGGCCACCTTCTGGGGGAGCAGCGCTCCTCTGTCCAACGGGAACCAGAGGGGAGGGAGAGCCACCCATCTGAAGCCCAGCGGCCTGAAGTCTAAGGTTCACTTTAAACAGTCTATCTGACCAGGGTCAACCTCCCTCCCCGTCTCACGGCACTTGTCAGGCTCGGACCATAAACCATAAAAAAAGACCCCGGCCCTGGCTGGTTTGGCTCAGTGGATAGAGGGTCAGCCCTCGGACTGAGGGTCCTGGGTTCGATACCAGTGAAGGGCAGGTACCTCGATTGCAGGCTCAATCTCTGGCTCTCTCTCTCTCTCCCTCTCTCTCTCTCTCTCTCTCTCTCTCCCCATCCCTTCCACGCTCTCTAAATATCAAAGGAAAAATACTCTTAGGTGAGGAGAAACAAAAACAAAACAAAACAGAAAGACCAGTCACCTGCGCCCAGGCCATGCATCCGGGCCCCACGCATCCTGCCTGCGGCCAGGAGGCTCACCGGCTCCCAGAAAGGAAGGTGAGGAACCACCTCCTTGGCACAGGCCCCGGGAGAGGGAGAGCGCCAACCTGGGCCTCCAGCCAAGTCACCACGTGAGCACCGACGTGAACGTGGAGGGCACGGGGCAGAGCCGGCACAGCCCCTGCCTCTCACACACCTGGAATGATGGGAGAACACCACAAGGAAAAATGCTAAAATAAATTAAATAAGATCAAAACACACAGTCTGTGTCAAAACACACAGTCTGTGTGCTTCGAGGGACGCCCGAGCTCTGGGCTGTCCACACCCTGGCACCTGCCGGCCAACAGCTTTCAAACCTGGCACGGACGGGAGGTGTGAGCAGAGCTGGCCGAAGCCACCGTCGCCAGGAAAGCCCAGGGCTCCACGTGGGTGTCAGCCCACGGCCACCGGTGTCCTGCTGGGAGAGGCTCTGGCAGGCTCGGCGACGGCCACCACCATGGCGGGTCCCTGCAGGGCAGCTCTCGCTGGGAACCGCCCGCCGGGGCCTCAGCCCAGGATCTGCCGAGACCTTCCCCGTGGCTTCCTGTGGAATCTGTGCACCGACGGGCTTGTTTTTGTCTGAGGAGCAGCAGCAAAGGCCAACTGGCTTTCCGGGGTTTGCTGCGGAGGAGGCCCAGCCTAGTGGCAATTCATCGCCAGCGCCAGCGAGGAAGGTGCCGGGGAGGGGCTCAGTGTCCTCTGAAGCACCGCAGGGGCAGCGCAGGCTGGGACGGCCACGCCCCGCTGCCTCGGGAGATGGGGGCACAAGCAGCCCCCCATCTGAGTGCCCACTGCTGGCTCCCCCAGAGCCCGCTCAGCGACCCATCCGTCTCCTTCCAGCTCAACCAGAACCCCTTGGCAGTTAGTTCCCGCTCTCCACCAGGGAGCCCCGGGGAATTTTCTCAGAAGAGGTCTCCCCCGTGCACAGCAGCCTCCTGCAGTCTCCCTGTGCCCCAGGGGCCGAGCACCTGCGCTGCCTTCCCCTCACCCAGGGAGCTTTCCCCAGGAGCCTCGTATCCCAGGCCAGAAACCTCACCCCAGGGACCCAAAGGGGCAGGGAGCTGGCCGCACAGCCCCGCCACACTCACGTGTAGGGAACGGCCGGATGTGTACACACACACACACACACACACACACACACACACACACACGATTCCCGCAACTAGGCCTGGGCTCCCCTGAGTTTCCCTTTCTCAGCACCTCGCTCCCTTCCTGGTTACAGGAGAAGTGCCCACTCCGCGCCCGGGCGCATCAGGGCCGTTTAGAGAATGGGGCCTGGGCAAGAGCAGGGGCACTCGGCATTCAGACTCCAAACAAACAGACAGTGCAAACCAACCCCCAGCCCCCACTCGCCAAGGTGCAAAGGGACTGGCACCCTCTCCAAAGGGCAGGCTCCGGCACCCCCAGGGCGCCTGGCTCTCGGGGAAGGCTCGGCCACATGGTGTAAGGCTTTCCGCCACTGAGCAAGGGCAGCGGAAGCCCACCTGGCCACACAGGACAATGCAGCCCCCCCACCCCCCACCCCACCCCCGTGCACGGCATGGGACACGAGCCAGCCGGAAGCAGCTGCGATGCTGTGGACACGCCTGCAAGGCAGCCTCAGGGAACGGAAGGCAGTTCCCCTCACTTTCCTGACAAGACAGGAGTCTTCCAGTTCACCAAACTGACGCTGACTGGCCCTGGGAACACAGGCACACCTTGCATTTCCCTTTCGGGCTGTGTGACAACAGCCTGAGTCCCTGGGAGCTCCCTCCCACTCGGCGCAGACAGCAGGCGCAGTGAGCAACCGCCCAGGTTCCTCCAAAGCAGGGCACGGGGGCTCGGGACCAGCACACGGCGAGGTCCGAGGCTGGGCTCGGACACCGACCTCAGGACGGCCAGGAGTCCGCGCACCCGCACTGGCTAAGTGTCCCCACTGCGGGCTCCGAGCCGTGGTCTGAAGCTCCGAGAACTGTGGGAACGCCAAGACTTGTGGGACAAGCTCTGTGGCTTGGGTCCCCCCCCACATCCGTGCAAATGAACCAGAAAAGAAGGAAGTTTTTAAAAGAAACTGAGCTCTCTGGATTGCCATGTTTTCAGAAACTTCGATTTTAAGAAAAGCTCCCCCCTCCCCCCAGCCATACAGTGAAATGTAAAAAAAAAAAAAAAGTGAAGTAATGAGAAAAGAGCAACAGTCATAACACTTCCTGAGAAAGACTCGAGAAACTACCTGCAGGTACCGGACTTCCTGCGCCCGGGCCGGGCAGCCCTGACTGACTAACGCAAGACCCGACCTGCCCGGAAGTGATGGATCCCTGATTCCCGCAGGTGACGCCAGACCCAGGCCCGCGGAGCCCCCACAGGAAGCCGGCATCTGGCCATGCACCGGCCAGATGGCCCTCCTCCTGACTTGCCAGAAACCAAGTCGATTGCATCACGGGGCCAGAAGCTAGACTACAACCCACGTCACAGGGCTGGCCTCACGCACGAGGCCTATGAAGTGTGGACAAGAGCCGACCCTGAGCTCTAGGAACCAGAGGCTTCGGCCAGCCTGACTCCCCAGCAGCCTGGACAGCGACTTGCTGGCGTCCATCAGAGCCCGTGTTTACAAAGGGATTATCTATCAGCGCACTCCAACCCCGGCTGGTTCTGTCCATCCAGACGCAGACCGACCTGCCTAGTCCTCCAGCAGCACCGTGCTGGGGGGGGGGGGGGAGACGGGACGGGACGGGACACGCCTCGGACCGTTAACTTAGCTACAACGTGGAAGTCAGTCTGTTGCAAACCTTACTTTAATCCCATGCAAGGTCAAAGTTGAATGACTTGGGGGAACTCATGCTTTAATTGGAAACCTCCCCCTCCCACTCATCCTACTGCTATAAATAGACCAGGAGGGACCCCACTTAGCCCTCATGAGTAAGGAGGGCTGGGTCCCGGCATCAAAGTGCAAAGAAACAGTCATTTCTGGAAATCTGATGGTCCCTCAGGGCAGAAACTGCTACCAGGTTGACCAAGAGTTTGCTGATCTGACGTCACCACGTAAGAAACTCTAACTGAAAGAGGAGGCTACTGGTTACGTCTCCCTCTTCTCACTCAGAGAAGTGAGCCCCCTCGGCCCCCCAACACACACACACACCTGGAACAGAGAACATAGGACTTGAGTTTCGAAAACAAAGCCTTTTCTGCACATGTAGCTCAAACTGAAAGCAGTGTGTGTGTTTTTAAAGGAGCCACAGGAAAAACCTCTCCTGGCACGGCAGGTGAGCTCACGGCGATGAACTGACGCCCTCCTGACCCTTCCCACTAGGTCTCGCTCCAGATAACAAGTCAACTCTGTGTAGTGTGATGACTCCCAAAAAGCTATCTGAGGGTTTGGTCTCCCCCTCCTGAGCTCCAGACCTGCCAGGCAACTGCCCACGGGACCCCTCCACGTGGACGCGCCTGGATACTGGTTAACAAGCCCCAAACTTACCCTCTCATCCTCCCCCAAACCTGGTCCTTCCTTTCTCCCTGTTGTGGGGAACCGTGCCACATCGCAGTCACCCAAGTCAGAAAACAGGACCCACCTCCTCAGCACTCTCCCCTTTACACAGCCCCCCCCCCCCCCCAGAGCCTCTCTTCTATTCCCACTGTCCTGACGTCATATGAACCCACCCCTTAGGCCTGGACCGCTAGCACAAGACACTACACAGAATCTCAGAGCTTGCTTCCCGGGATCTTGGCCGAGAGGACGGACTGACTCCCAGCGCCCACCACCCCTTTCCGATAACTGCCGTCAGCTCCTGGAAATGGTCTGAGAGCCCGTGGGACCTCCGAACTGCCATCCCCTGCTGCTACGATCACTCGCTATCCTTCACTAGCCTACTCCTCTTCCCCCAGCACATGGCTCTGAGGGCACCACCACCAGGAAGCCTTCTGTGACTTCCCGGTGTCCCTCTGATGGACCTGACTTTTTCTACCTTAACTTTGCTATTGTCGTTGCTCATGGATCTGAGCATCTTATGTCTTATCTCGGTTTCTCAGTTTCCTGGCCCAGCAGAGCAGTGCTCCCCACATGCCCGCTGGATGAATGAACCCAGCGTGAGTCAGAGAGAACAGCAGTGCTTCTGGGTCACTAATTATCAGAAGCCTCAGGCAGAGTTCTGTCACCAGGGCTGTGTCTGTAACCGAAAGGAAACCACTGCCGGGGAGGAACGGATGGAACCCCTGTCCACCGTCTCGCTAGCCGCCAGGACCCGGCAGGCACTCCGACCGCTGGGTCAGACGGGCAAGCTCAAGTCTAAAACGATTTCGGCCCATGACTACACAGAACTATTATCAATGAATCAATGATCAGAGTTAAAAGAAACCACACCATTCGGGGAATGAGGAATTGGGAGGTGCAACTGAACAAAGAAAAAGAAACGAAAGCCAGTAGTCACGGGTGTGCGGCCATGCAAACCCCAAACACCAAGGCCACAAAGAATCGGAAAAAAAAAAAAAAAACAAAAAAAAACCCCTGCAAAGTGAAAAGGGCAAGAAACCTAGAGGGTGGTAGCGACACTGGTGACAGCACAGGCGTTCTTTCCAAGGATGACAACACCCAGTGTCTGGCAGGTGTGTTTCTGTGTGTGATTTCACCGAGCTTCTGGTGTCACTGTTGACCCAGAAAAACAACGCCTCTCTCTCTCTTGGTTTAATCACCAAGAGCCATGGGGCCACTGCACCTCCTGACACTATTTACAAAAAGGGCTTTGCCATTTCAGACAATCCCCACTGACGCATGGCCCCCGACACCCCCCCCCCAAAAAGGACACCCCAAGAAGACTGTGTTTTTGAGAAGAATTCGTGCAGATTGCCCAACATCCTTTAGCAATCCATCCCAATGTTAAACAATGATTAATCAAGTGGTTTTCGTATAGTTTACACACATCCAGGGAGATGACAACATCGCCTCAACAGCTTGGAGGAGAGAACATTTCTTGAAACTTTAAAACAGATTTCTCGGTAGCTGGAGGCCGGGCTGTGGGAGTCACCTGACCTCGCTGTCCCAGGAACGGACTGGTCTCTGCGAAGAGCCGGTTCCAGCAAGTGGAGAGGCCACGCCCACGCCCTTGGCCGCAATCATGTGAACCCGAAAAGCCTTTGGGGGGCGGGGGGGGGGGCGGTAGGTTTCCGAGAGTCCCAGCAGGCAAGGCCCTGGCGCCAGCACCTACAAGTTCCCCTAAATCAGACTCTTTCTGCTCAAAACCTCCAGCCGCCGGCCCATAGGGAGCAGGCCCTCCCCTTCCCTAGAATCTGCACCCGGGACGGGACCGCAGCGCGGCACCCAGTAGGCACCGATGAAAACCTTGAGACAACGCAAAGGGCGCAGGGCGCAGACATCCCCCCCTAAGGATGAAGGGGAAGGCTCGGGGCCTAATAAAAAAACGGTCC